AAGAATATTTAATCTAACCATGGCAGATTACATTTTTTTTTGCCTCAAGCTCACATTGAACATTCACTAAGGCCACATTCTGGGCCACAGAACACACCTTAACAAATTTAAAAGAACAGATGTCATATAATGATGCTCTTAGTCCACAATGGAATTAAACTAGAAATCAATAACAGAAAGGTAGCTGGAAAATCCTGAAATGCTTTGAGGTTAAACAGTACATTTCCCAGTTACCCATTGGTCAAAGAAGAAGTCTTAAGAGAAATTAAGACATACTTTGAACTAAATGAAACTAACAATACCACTTTTCAAAAAAAGCAACGCTTAGAGGGAAATTTACAGCATTATATGCATACATTATAAAAGAAAAAAATCTAAAATCAATAATCTAAACTTACATCTTAGGAAACTTGGAAAAAAACTTTATCTAACATAACAAAAAAATAATAAAAATTAGAGCAGAAATCAAAGAAATTGAAAACAGATGGTTCTTTGAAAAGATCAATAAAACGGATAGACCTCTAGCCAGGCTAACTTAAGAAAAACAAAGACAGAAGACAGAAAATAGCTAATATGAGCCCTGGCTGGTGGTGTTCAGTGGTTGGAGCGTCATCTTATGCATCTAGGGGTCATGGGTTCCATCCCTGGTCTGGGTGCATGTGTGAGGCAACTGAGGGATGTTTTTCTCTTGCATCGATGTTTCTCTCTCTCTCCCTCACCCTTCCTCTCTCTCTAGAGTCAAGGGAAAATATATCCTCAAATGAGGCTTAAAAATTATTAATATCAGAAATGAAAGAGGGGCTATCAATACTGATCTCATAGATATTAAAAGGAGAATAAAAGAATATTATGAACAATTCTATGTCCATAAATTTGAGAATCTAGATGAAATGGACCAATTCCCTGAAAGACATAAGCTATCAAAACTCACACAAGAAGAGATAATCTAATTTTGCCTGTATCTATTAAAGAAATTGGATCATTAATTAATAATCTCTCAAAACAGATGGGTTCATTGGCGAATTCTACCTAACATTTAAGGGAGAGTTTATACCCATTCTCTACAATCTCTTTCGGAAGATAGGAGCAGAGGGAGCACTTCCTGACTCATTTTATGAGACCAGGATTACCCTAATACCAAGACCAGACAACAACTTAAAAGAAAGGAAAACTATTGGCCAATATTTCTCATAAACATTGATGCAAAAGTCCTCAACAAAATAATAGCAAACCAAATATGACAATGAATAAAATGAATTATACACCATGGTCAAGTGAGATTTATTGTAGGTATGCATGACCAGTTTAGCATTCAAAATCAGTTAATGAGATCCTTCACATCAACAGGCTAAAGAAGAAAAATCATAGGCCCTCACCAATAGGTGCAGAGGAAGCATTTGACAAAATAGCACACTGAGAATGCTTTTTGTTTGTATCTATTTGTAAATATCTGTTTTTGTAAATCTATCTATCCTCCCTATCCCTTCCCCAACAAAGTCTATGCAACAAAATGCTGACAGATTAGAGTTTTTATTTTGTTCTTATTGCTTTTCTGAATTTTCTATAAAATTTTCTAGAAAAAAGCACTAACCATAATTTAAAAAAAAACTTTTATTGGTTTGACAAGGGTCCACTAACAGAAACACTTGTTAAAAGATCACCACTAAAGGGAATAGGGCCACAAATCTTCTAGTGCCTGTGGATGGGAATGACACTGGGAACTGGAAAGAGCCTCCCCTGGTAGTGTTCTAAATCTAGAAATTTACAGCATCATATGCATACATTATAAAAGAAAGAGATCTAAAATCAATAAACTTACATCTTAGGAAACTTGACAAAAACCTAAATCTAACATAACAGAAAAGAAATAATAAATATTAGAGCAGAAATCAAAGAAATTGAAAACAGGAAATTAATAAAATCAAAAGATGGTTCTTTGAAAAGATCAATAAAATTGATAGACCAGGGGGCCTGGCTTGGTATTTCCCAGCTGACCCATCTATATGGACAAAATACAGGAAACAGAGCAACACAGAAACCTGTCCCCATTGCTTTCTATAGTGTCATTTTGTATAAATCCTGGAAATTGCTGCAACAGGTAGAGAGAGAACAGTTTCTTTTTGAGATGGTTCTCTATCAGCCTAAGCAAATGAGCTCATAGAAGTCAGTTACACACACACACACACCCCTCACTACAATGCTGAAGGCTTAGAGTTTATGTGTTTATAGTATTGATTCTGATCAATCTAGTTTTTTTTTTTTTGTTTGTTTAGATTTAAAAACAGGGTTATATGGTTTTGTTGAAGCCTAAGTCAACTTCATTTTCCTTGAACTGGCAGCCCCCTATGTGGTCTGGAAAGTTTTTTTCCAATTTGGGTTCTAAATCGACTATGTTGAATTTTAATAGCCTCATCATCATACTCTATACACAGTCACTGCATCTCACCTCTGATTATTTCCTCTTGAATAACCAACCAGGGCCTGGTTGGCCATCATGAATATTAATTACAGCGACTTCTGACCCTAAGATCACCTTTCCTTTTACTGCAGCAGACTCAGTGCAAAGAGTGGCATTTGGAAACAGCTGGAATCAGCTCTGTCTAGATTTAAATCCTTGCCCCACTACTTACCAGCTGGATGAACTTGAGCAAGTCACTCCATGAGGGGCTCCCTTCATCTGATAAATGTGGACAATCAGTTAATAGAATTGTGACAATTAAATTAAAAATCCTCTGCACAATACCTGGCACAAAGTAAGCCACCACCAAGTGGCTATTGGATGCTTGTAGTTATTCTTCTGACCTGCCTTCCTTTCCAATTATCTGAGTTGATTCTAGAGGCTTTAGTTTTCCTTATAGGACTAGTTTTCCTTATAGGACTATCCTCGTGTGCATCCAGACTCTTGCTTTCAGCCCACAGTTCCTGCTTCCTTTCTAGCTGTTTGTCTTCCTCATTTTGTAGATGTTTTGGATCCCATTATCTTGCCCCTTGATTCTGTTGTTGCGTTTCTGGTTCTGGGTGGTGAGTGCTGATGCTTGCTCAGGTTAGAGCTCCACCCCGATCAGGTCCCCCAATAGTGAACCTCCTAACCTTGGCAAAATCATTTAAAGTCCTGTACACACTGCTGCTTCTTTATAGCATGTGCTTGTCAGACCAGAACATAATGGTCCAGCCTCACAAATGTCATAAAAGGATGGAAATTTAAAGCAATGAGCAAAAGACCCTGGAAAAACCATGATTTTTTCTCTTGAAAAGAATCTTCACTGTCAAAAGAGTAAGGCAAAATATACAATTCAGACCTAGCTGGTTTGGCTCAGTGGATTGAGCATTGGCCTGCAGACTAAGGGTCCTGGGTTCCATTCCAGTCAAGGGTATATACCTCAGTTGCAGGCTTGATCTCTGGCCCTAGTCGGGGTGTGTGGAAGGCAACCAATAGGTGTGTCTCTCTCACATTGATGTTTCTCTCTTTGTCTCTCTCCCTCCCTTGCACTTTCTCTAAAAATCAATGGAAAAATATCCTCGGGTGAGAATTAACAACAACAACAAAAACAACAATTCAGAGCATTTAGAAGCAGAATTATCTCTATGCAGAGTACTTTTTATTTATTTTATTGATTTCAGAGAGGAAGGGAGAGAGAGAGATGGAAACATTAGGGATGAGAGAGAATCATTGATCCGCTGCCTCCTGCATACCCTGCACTGGGGATTGAGCCCACAATCTGGGCATGTGCCCCAACGGGGAATCAAACCGTGACTCCTGGTTCATAGGTTGATGCTCAACCAGTGAACCACACCAGCCAGGCTATGCAGAGTACTTTTAATTTTGGATGTCAGTGACTCTTACAGATTTTGTGCTTTGGAATGAATTTGTTCAGTTGGGATCTGGAGAAGCCTGGTTACATGGAGAATTAATCACATATGTAACAGCTTGGTTATGAATACCTTTACTGTATTAATATGGCTGTTGTTCTTAGGCAATTAAGTAATCCATGCTCATTATATAAAATCTAGAAAACACAAAAACCTTTAAAGAGAAATCTGGAAATAAGCCTAACATTTTGGTGTATTTCCTTGTCATTTATTTTCTTTATAAAATTTGCATCATATTGCATCCACAGTTTTATATCCTCCTCTTGCACTTAACCAGTATCTCTTGAGTGGTTTTCTACATTTTAAATACTCCTCCAAAACATTATTTTTAATGGCTGCTTATCACCCATTGATTGAGTGACTGTATTATAATTTATTCATATAAACCTTGTTGGACATTTGTGAATCCTATTACAAATAATACTTCAATGTAAATATTTGAATCTTCATTTTTTGAGTGCTTAATCCAGTTATATCTTTAAAATAGATTTATTTGGAGCACTTTACATTTCCAAATGAAATTATCTGGTTGCGTGGGGAGTACTGGCTGCTATTCATGCCACACCATTGAGGCCAGCTGCAGTGGGACTGAATGACCAAAGATGTTTTCGGGGCAGGATTCTCTCTCTCTGGCAGGGAAGTTTTTATTAAAGGCAGATCGCCAGCTTGTTAGGAGTGCATTGCTTTCAGTGCCTATGTCAGATCTTGCAGGCTATGGCACGTGAGCACCTTGTATGCAATGGCCTAGGCAGTACCTTCAAGTCTTGTGCAGGCCTTTGCTGGCAAGTAACTTCTTCCACCGAGTAGGGTGATTGCTAGTGAGGTCAGTATCTACAGGAAGTGGTGGAGGCATGGAACCTCTCCCACCACAGATTCTCCTTGGTAAGGCTGGCCCCTCACTGCCAAGCTGGAGTCAGGTTGGCTGGGAAAGCCCTGGACATGCTGTGGCTGGTGTGTTTGTGGTGTGTGAATATGTGTATGTGTGAGGGGTAGGGAAATATGGTCTTAGTCATTGAAATTCTCTGGTACCCTCCAAGGATTATACACATTTTCTCTTTTACGAGGTGATTCCTTTTTCTATCAGTCTGCTTAGGCTGCTGTAACAAAATACCGTAGACTGGGTGGCTTAAACAACATAAATTTATTTTCTCATACTTCTGAAGGCTGAAAGTACCAGATCAAGGTGTTGTCAATTGGACTTCCTGGGAAGACTCTTTCTGGCTTATAGAGGGCCGTCTTCTCTCTATGTCCTCATCCTCAGATGACTTTTCTTTCCTTTGTGTTGGAGGAGAGAAAGGAAGATAGATAGATAGACATATAGATGTTGATCTCTTCTTCTTCTTATAAGGCCTTATTTAAACTTAGCTACCTCCTAAAGACCCTATCTCTAAATATAGTCACATTGAGGGTTGGGGGTGGGGAGTACACAAGCATTCAGTCCATGACACCCTTTCACCCTATTCTACTTTTTCCCTATAGCATTTATCACCTTTTATAATACTAGATGATTTGTTTATTAAGTTGGTTATTGTCTCCTACTACTAGAATATAAACTCCATAAGGTCAGAGATCTTCCTTTGTTTTTCACTGATGTCTCTTCAAGAACCCGGAAGAATGCTTGAACATGGCAAGTGTAGAACAAAGGAAGGAGGTCAGCAACCATAGCTCTCAAGGAAAAAAGAGAGAGAATGAATTGCTGGCAATACACAGAAAATCCCAGGACGTGCTGATACCTAGAAAGGGAAATTAAGGCTTATCTTATCCCAGAACTGAAACTATCTTGTCCATCAATGTGGATCACTTCTCTTGATGAGGCATTATGTGATGGAGACACTCCCTTTGAGTTACAATGGGAACTATGGTGTCTTGGTCTACTCGGACTGCTATAATAAAATATCATAGACTGGATGGCTTAAACAACAGAAATTTATTTTCTCATAGTTTTGGAGGCTGAAAGTTCAAGATCAGCGTGCCAGCCAGCATGGTTGGGTTCTGGTGAGGATTCTCTTCCTGGCTTGCAGACAGTTACCTCCTCTCTATGTCCGAGAGAGTGCACGTGCCCGCCAGAGAGAGGGCTGTGGTCTAATTGCATCTTGGGGGGCCTCCCCTTATGACTTCATCTAAACCTAATTACCTCCCAAAGGCCCCATCTCAAAGTATCATTACACTGGAGGTTAGGGTTTCAACATACAGATATTGGGATGACACAGACATTCAGTCCTTAGCAGATAATATAGTAGGTAATCAAACACTCACTGGATCCAGACTCATGAGATGTCAGGTCAGGGAATAGAATAGGAGACCATCCAGATAGACAATGATTCCTCAGGCCAGGAGGTCAATGCCTAGGAAACATGAGGGCATTGCACTAGTCAAGTGGCATCACAGTGTACCAGTATTTGTCAAAGCCTGCTTGGGAAGATGCTGTTTCTAGATCTTAAGAGGTCTAATTTCATACAAATTATGTGTTCCTTCAATTTTTGGCAAATTATTAAACTAGGTTCCTTATTCTTTTTATTTATAAAAAATTCTGGGGCTTCTAGGGAGGAAATGCAGGGTCTGAGAAGTGGATATCACACTGTTTAAAATATTGCTGCTTTAAAAAATATTTTAATACTGATGCAAGAGAAATTATTACAAAAATATCTTGACTATTCCCACCAGTAGATATTTTTCAGATGAGCTTTAGAAGTTCCAATAAAACCTATTGAGATTTTGATTGGAACTATGTTAAATCTATACATGATTTTGTAAAACATTGACTTTTTTTATAGTGTTGTGGTGTTTCATTCAGAAACACGGTAGGTTTCTACATTTTTTAAAGTTATTTATGTCTCTTGATAAAATTTTGTGATTTTCTTCATATAAAGCCTTCACTTTCTTTGTAACTATTATTCTTAAGTATATTATTTTTTTTGTTATTGTGAATGGGATAGTTTTCCAGTATATTTTAAATTAATTATTTGCTATCATATTGGAATATGTTGATTCCTGTGCATTTTTTTTAATATTAGGCCATCTTATCGAACTCTTATTAGCATTAATAGTTATTAGTTTATTTTTTTGAGTTTTAAGTCATACTATTCACATATAGTAATAGTTTTTGCATTCTCCTTTTCAATTATTGTAACTCTTATTTCTGTTGCCTGCCCTATTCTTGATCCAAATATTAAATAGTGATGATAGAGCTACTTGTTTTGATCCTGATTTTATGGCAATATCTCTAGAGTTCCACTGTGTGTCAGTCCATCCTAGCCTGTTTGCTCTCATATTTGTTCTTTGATTTTCCTTGCTCTGTTCTACTGTAAGGGGCTGGCATTTGCAGTATGAATATCCCAAGTCTCCCATGTCAGCTGGTGTCCATCTGGGTTCAGCCAAAGAGAGGTCCTGGCAAGAGTTTGCTGAGCAGAAGAACAGGAGAAGCCAGGGTATTTCTCCCCTATTTTCAGCCATAGGTAGCAACTCCAGCAGTAGCTGCCTCCATTTCATGGCTCCAGTTCTAGCCAGACAGGTATCTTTTGCTGGTCAAACCTGGTCCCTGGCCCCAGGAATACCCTTTCCTCTGTTTGCTCCTCCAGTTTAGATGCCCAGCATGAAGGTCTCTGCCATGTTTAGAGGTCCTGCATTTATCATTCATCTCTCCTTCTCCCCCCCCCCTCACACACACACACACACACACACACACACACACACAAACACACACACACACAGTAGCTGTATTGAAGAACTCATGCTCATCTCTAATGTCTTGGGATTCTGCATTAGTGCCGGCACAGCATAGTTTGTCATCTGCTCTTCTAATTAACACAGTATAGGGCCCAGGGAAATGCTTCTTTATACCTCTTGTCCCGTGTCCTCAAAACACAAGGCAACTGCATCTGAATGCCTTTAAGTTTTGCTGATGTTGGGGATAGGTACTGCTTTGGAGTGCTGAGAGGATCTGAGGGTGGAAGCACTTGATAAAAGAAAAGGTGACATGATTAACTTGTCAAATCCTGCCTCTATGCATACGGTAGATTTTTTAAATAAGGAAGTATTTTCCTGTAATGATGAGCATCCATTTTCTTGTTTCCCTTTGTGGTACAATTCATGGTTCTGGAGTTACACATGAATTAGGGTGGTAATTGCACCCAGGAACCAGGAACTGAGGAATGTCTTGCAGTGTTATGCTCTTGCAATTCATATTGCTCTTAAACTATAAGTCTATGTCTAGACCTAACCTGAATTTTGTCCTAAAATCCAGAAGCATTCTTTATGACATGTATGAAATGTAGTTTGAATTTGTTATGAGAGATGTGGCCTCCACTGAGCCAATAGTCACGAAGTTTTTTGAAAGATTAAAAAATTATGATGTCTTGAATCTATCCATAGATGAAACACATCAAATTTGACCTTATAGACAAAGAGAGAATCTTAAAAGCAGCAAGAGAAAGAGACTCAATTACCTACAAGGGAATACCCATACGACTGTCAGCTGATTTCTCAACAGAAACTTTGCGGGCCAGAAGGGAATGGCAAGAAATATTCAAAGTGATGAATACCAAGAACCTACAACCAAGAATACTTTATCCAGCAAAGCTATCATTCAGAAGTGAAGGCCAGATAAAGAGCTTCACAGATAAGAAAAAGCTAAAGGAGTTCATCACCACCAAACCAGTATTATATGAAATGCTGAAAGGTATCCTTTAAGAAGAGGAAGAAGAAGAAAAAGGTAAAGATACAAATTATGAACAACAAATACACATCTATCAACAAGTGAATCTAAAAATCAAGTGAATAAATAATCTGATGAACAGAATAAACTGGTGATTATAATAGAATCAGGGACATAGAAAGGGAATGGACTGACTATTCTTGGGGGGGAAAAGGGAATGGGAGATGCGGGGGGAGGAGGGGAGTTATGGGGGAAAAAAAAAAAGAGGAACAAATGTAATCTGAACAATAAAGATTTAATTAAAAAAAAAAATTTGACCTTATAGCCACTTAAGACATATGACGAACACGTTGACTAAATGCTGTTAAAGCCATTACATTTCATTTAGAAAGCTGATGAGATATACTAGAGTAGCCAGATGAAACAACAGAAGACCCGAAAAGACAAATGTGGTTTTCAGGAGAAAATGAAATTAATTTTGGATTTGAGCTATCTATAATTTTTTGATACAGACTATAGACAAAAGCAGATCTAAGTTTGGTAATTTCTCACTTAAAAGGACTAACAATATTTTTAAATAAAAAAAATGGTTTTCTAAATAGAAATAAACTACATGTGAAATCAAAAGTGATATTCTAGTAAAATATAAGGAAATTCGAACAGGGAAATACAAATGTTTTTGTGACTAAAGAAAATTTATGTGCAAATAATCCAAAAGTAATGTCTGTAGTAATTATTTTCCAGTCATTATAGATTAAGATAAGGTCTTGATTGTTGAGAGATTTGAACAAATTAAGTAATATAGCACAATTTTTGGTTTTCTTCATTCTAGCATTGGAATATTTGTAAGAAGAACTTTTAAATAAATATTGTATAGATTGAAATATTACTTTAAGAGATAGTAAAAATCATGATATATACAATAATTGTTTATATGATAAAGTAATATAGTATTTTTTGCATTAACAATAACTTGTCATATGTGATCATTACAATTCTTAAACATAACACGTAAAATTTAAAATATAAGTATTGCTTTAAGAATTTTATTGACACTTCCAATGGAAGTGTTCCTGCCTCAGTAGAGTGAAGTTCTTCCAAATTGAAATTAATTTAAAAAAAGACAATAGCTCAGTGGAGGCCTGGGGTGGGGCTGGAACTAGTTGGAGGGGGACAATGAGGGGAAAAGGAGGGACATCTGTAATACTCCCAACAATAAAGATAAAAAAACAAAACAAAACAAACCCCCCCCCCCAACTCTCTAAAAACTACAGTGAATCAAAAACAGTTGTCAAAAACATTTGGCATTCCGATCAATAGAATATAAAGTTATGTGAAAATCTTGATTATAATAATGATTGCCCTGAAATAAAAGTCAAGAAAAATAAGTCTAATGAAATATGTATTATAAGTTATGAATTATGAATGTCTTTGTTTTATTACTCATCTGAACATTGCTGGCCCATCAATACATGAGCAATGATAATTAATTTGCTTCTCTTTGTTATTTTGCCAACTTTTATTAGTACAAAGAACATAACTTTACACATTTGAAAATTTTGTCATCATAAAGGTATTTGTAATGTAGAAGGATAGAACATTTTAATTTAACAATTTGTCATTTGACTTTTACCTGTTAAACATTGAGCGACATGGTATGTAGGCCTCCCTTTGTGTACTTGCCCTGGACTCTTTGTTAGGGGTGAGCTTGCCTTCAGCCTAGGGTTATAGTGGCTTTCTCCTATCAACTTCCTATTACTTGCCTGGCTTCTTGGTTCTTTCATCACCCTTTCATTTTGCACAAATAAGCAGATACATGCCTATTTCTAAATGCCCCCCCTTTTTTTACATGAACGGTAGAATTATGGGTTGAATAGTGTTCCCCAAAAAGACATGTTGAAATCCTAACACCTGTGACCTCAAAATATAACCTTATTTAGAAACAGTGTCATTGTAGATGTAATTAGTTAAGATGTGGTCATGCTGGCGTAGTGTAGGCTTCAAATTCAATGCAACCATTGTCTTTTTATGAAGAGAGAGGTTTGGAGACAGAGGAAGGATGATGTGAGAGAAGATGGTTTTTGTGATGACAGAGGCAGAGATTGTAGTGAAGCATATAAGCCATAGAATGTCAGGGGTGCCAGCAGCTGCTGGAAGCCGGAGGAAGGAAGGATTCTCTCCAACATGTTTCAGAGGGAGCATGGTCCTGCCAACACCTTGATTTTGGACTTCTGCCTTGCCATAGAAGCCCGAGGGAGTAATACGGGGAGCATACTAAAGATACTCTTTGCCCTTTGTGCATTTCTACAGGCCAGGTACTGAGAAGTACATTGTCTGGGTTATAGCAAACATGTATTTTTCTTTTTTTAAATTTCTTTATTGATTAAGTTATTACATATGTGTCCTTATCCCCACATTACCCCTCTTCCCCCCACTCATGCCCTCACCCAAACATGTATTTTTCATCTTAATGGCTACTCCAAATTGCTCTCCAGATCGTATCTCCAATTGTATCAGTTTATGCTCCTACCAGTAGTGCATGAGAGCATGTTTCCTTATGCCCTGGCCAAAACTTGACATTAACAGACATGTAATATCTTTGCTGATGGGTGACAAGCAGTATTAAAAAAAAAAGATTGCATTCCCTGATTACTAGTGAGGTTGAGTTTTTTTTTAAATGTTAATTTCCATTTGAATTTTTTCTGTAAATTTTCTTTATATAACCTTTGTCCATTTTTTCTGTTGCGTTATTTGTTTTATTCCTACGAGTTTGAAATATTTCTTTATGCAGGAGATGATCTTATTCATTTTCAACCGTTCTTAGTTTAGGAAGAGCTTTTAAATATCAAGAATGTTTGTTGGGTTCAGCTGGCTGTCTTTTCAGCCTCTAGTGAGGTGGTCAAATGATATTTACTTGACTTGTTGATATGAGGCACCTATAATTGTAAGAACTTTAAAAAGCAGAGTAGTTAAATGTTTTATGAGCAAGAGGAATGATTCCAATGTGAGGATTTTCAAAACATGTTTAGAGGGATGCCTGGTTAGAACAGAGGGTGTGTCTAAGGGGGTGTGACGGTCAGCTTTAGAAATAGGCTGAAGTCTTTGTGGGGTATTGTACCCAGGTGAAGAGTTGGAGCTTTACTGTACAGGCAAGACAGAACTACTGCAGAACTTTGAGTAAAAGTTAACTTAGAATTTAATAAGGTTAATATGATGGTGTGGTGGAGGAAGCAGAAAATAACAGCAAAGAGTACCCAGGAGTGAGATAAAAATAGCCATTTACTATAATGACCCTAATCCTATATAATAAAAGCCTAATATGCAAATTGTCCCCTCAGGTGGTTGTTCCACTGAGAGTTCAACTGGGAGTTCGACCCCTCACTATGATGTGCGCTGACCACCAGGGGGCGGTGCGGAACATGGCGGGTGTCAGCGATGCGGCAGTGGAGGTGATGCTGGCCCTGACAAGAGGGGGACCACGGTGGGATGGTGGAGCAGGTGAGCGGGTGGCGCCAGGCCAAGGCGGGGTGCCAGGTGGGGCTGTGGGGCTGTGAGGCTGGGGGTGCAAGCTGGGGCCTGATCTCTGCAGGCAACCCCGAGGGTCCCCACCTGTGCACGAGTTCATGCACTGGGCCTCTAGTAAGGAAGATAAGAAGGAAAGTAGCTAAACAAACAAATATGAATCTCTGATGAGTTGAGATTCAGAAAGAAGGGTACCTATTCAAGCATAAATACTAATATGTCACAGACTTGGAGGACTGTGTCAGAGGGCTAAAATGGAAAATACCTTTTGGGTTACAAATAATGTCTAAGTTATGTGAAGCTAATTAGGAAACCAGGAATACAAAGATACTATAAGGGGACTTCTGTCTGGGCAAGTGACATACTATTGATAGATGGCAAAGAGAAAGCACACCTCATCAACTTTTATTTTGATTCCAAATGACAGTGTCAATGAGAGTGATTTTTAGACTGAAGGTGGGTGTAGAGTGGAACAAATATGACAACTGAAGACAGATCACAATGGGTGAAATCATAGGAAAGCATCTATCTACTCTGGGTGAACTATACTCCAAGAAAAGAGAGAACTTTTAATTATACCTCTGAATGTCTATTGCTGACCTTAGAGAAAACTTGGAGAATGTAAATGTTGCTTTTCTTAAAAAAAGGTATGTATGTATGTGTGTGTGTGTTGCAAAGGAAATTCCAAATTTCAAAAATGTGGATTTCACAAACTGAAAATCCATGATCTTAATGTCGTTTTGGGGTAAGATCCTAGAATAGCATTCAAAAGGGGTGACTTATAGGCTCCTAGAAGGATCATTAGAACTCTATATGAGTCATGTAAAAAATGACTGACCACATTTTCTTCATTGATTGACATAACTTAGATAAAAGAGCACTGTTAAATGCAAGCAAGTGCTAGGAGGAAATGAACAAGGGATGTTAAGCCTGGAAGGAAGAAGGCTTAGGGAGACAACAATGGCTGATATCAAGTATGAGAAGGACCATTACATGGAAGAGGAATCAGGTATCTGTGGGCTTCTCGAAGGATAACTGGATACCATTCAGTATAAGGAAGAGCTTCCTAACCACTTACAGAGCAGGGTGCTTGTCCAGAGAGTGATTTCCCCATCATTGCAAGTAGGCAAGCAGAGCCTGGTCAGTTACTTCTTGAGAAATGTTCTAGGAGAGGTTAATGCATTCTTGTGTGGCTGACTCTTAAGTACCTTCTGATTTTGAGATTCTGTAATCCTACAACAGTGTAGGTGCAAATGGGAAGGACTAGGTTGGAAATGCAGAGATAGTGTAGCTAACAGGATGGAAGGAATTGGAAGAAGACAGAAGAAAGGTAAATCACTCAATTAAGAAAAGAAAGTCATGTAGTCATATAGTCTAGAAGAAGAATTCACCATCCTTTTAGCCCCAAAGACCAGGGTCATCCACAAATGGGCTGTCCAAGAAGATTGCACTCCAAAGCAAGGTCTCAAATCAACATCTTTCATAGGCTTTTGGGGAGGTCATCAAGGACAAAACTTTTAAAATAGAATTTCGATGATGATCAGAAAAGAGGAGGACAGTGGGGTCCTTTCCCCAGCAGGGCCAAATCACAGGACTACTGGGTGGGGAGTGGTGGGCCAGGCACATGCTTGGAAGCAGGCCTAAGGCCCAGGCCAGGAGAAAGTTAAAAAACAGGAATAAGAAAGGAGGGGAATAATGTAAGAGGAAGGAAAAGATAAAGGCAGACTTAACAGGCATATTTATTGTGAATGGGCAACTGCCTGGGCTTCCAGGGGTCTCTGGGGCACCTCTTTCAGCTGGTTCCCAGGGGAGAAGAGTCACAAATCAGGAGATTGAGGCTCTAATGCTGGCTGTGCCCCAATTTCCTGAGTGACCTTGTAGATGCCATTTCACCTTTCTGCCTCCTCCCGACTGTCAAACGCAGGCATCCAGTTAGCCTAAAAGTGCTCTAGGCTTTACAGAAAAGAATAGCTCCAGAAATGTATGACATTGTCTGCATGTGTGTTGAGTGTTTGCCCTTGTTTCCATATTTTCACTGTTGGGGGAGGGAGAACTGGTAAGAGGAGGGTGGAAAGAAAGGTGAGAAGCCATTGGGGCCAAAGTCTCTTGGCTCCGCCTCATCAGCCTAGGGAACCCAGGGGACCGGGAGCTGGCAAAGGACACATGCCGACAGTCCCTGCCCAGCCAGGCATCCGAGATCCCAGCGGACATCCTCAGTTTCTGCTGTCCTTTCAGCAAATCCCATTGCAGCATCAAGGGAGGAAAAGTGAGGCACGCCCCTCCCCCACTAGATGGCACTGAAACGCCTCGTAGGCGATTTTCAAAGCGCAGGAAGGAGAAAAAAGAAAAAAAAATATGGTGGAGGTGCGATCATTTTGGCTTGCAGGCCCCATTGTGCAAAAAAGGGTGCGGGACACACTGTTTTTTCTTGGGGCAGTTCTTCACGCAGCAGTGTGGGCCCTCGACTTTGGAGTGAGGGTGAAAATGAGGGGTGAGCATTAGAGTGAAAAATCTAGGGTTTCAACCTGGGAGGGAGGCTCCCGGCCTTTGCGGCGCTGTCTCACGTGAGCGGGGAAGTGGGATTAAGTGCGACTCGCCTGCGGCCCACCCGCTCAAGGTCTAGGGTCCCGCACTACCTCCCAGAGCCTCGGCAGAGCCTAAATTCAGCTGCCATCCAGATAAGGACAAATCCCACACCCACGTTTCATTGAACCCCACTCTCCTCCTCAAAGCTCAAACCCTCGAGCGTTTTCAAAATATCTGTTAAGCACCCTCTCAATTAAAATTCTTTTCTTCTTGTCTCGAAGGGACCAATTTTCTTTCTTTTTTTCCTTCTGAGGAGGGAGGTGGAGGTGGGTGTGTGTCGGGGAGTCTGGTGCTGGCGTGGGGCTGGCGGTGGTAACCTGCCGACTCGGTCAGCCTCTGGAGCAAACGCCTATAGCTAGCAAGACAGCACCGGTGGCTTTCTGGGGAAAACAAAGATCAAATAGGATCCAAGACATCAGCGACGCAAACCGGGGGACGCAGCGAACTTCTTCAGTCTCCCAGAATGCCCACTCCGCAATAAGCAGTCTTTTCTTTAAAGAACTGTGGCCGATTTGAGGGAGTTTCCCACCACTGGAGAGATAAACGGGAGAGATGGAGGCTACATTCCTAAATTTATAATAATGCATGCAAACATGCTACATACCACATATATGTATATGTGCATAAATATGGATGTGATTGGGCACGTACCTATCTCGACACCATTGACTTGCCTGGTCAAAGAATAAGGCTTAGACATTTCGTGCCTGGGAAATGGTGCAGTTTATCTTTAAGGCGGCTAGAAAAATAAGAGATGAGGCTCACGTTGCACGGATGACATCACTAGCTTAGGGCTGCACGCTCCGTGTTCTCGTCTGTGGGTTTTAGCCAAGGATGCAGCGCCCGGCGTCCGAGAGAGCGAGCGCAGCAGTGGCTTCCTCCGGCTCCCGCACCCGGGCCAGGCAGTTTCCCCAGCCCTCCGGGCGCAGCCTCGGCTCCCGCTCCCCAGCACTAGCCTAGCCCGCGACG